GTGTGTGTGTGTGTGTGTGTGTGTGTGTGTGTGTGTGTGTGTGTGTGTGTGTGTGTGTGTGTGTGATTGATTTATACTAAAATCCCACCTAAGGAAACTGTAAGTACTGATTACATCAAATATGATACTAAAAGATTTCCTCTATGTTAATGACCTTCATTTCCCTGGCGTGAAGGCCAATGCTCTGTAACAGGGGTGGATAAATACAATGTTTAAAACAAAACAAAACAAACAAAAAACATGTACGTGTTATCAGATCCTACTGCAAGCAGCCATCACGTGGACCTGTATTTATTGGCTCCTTACTTATCTCAGGTGGTGAAATCGCTGTATGAAATGCCCTGCTCTGGCGACGAAGCAATCTTCAGTCTAGTAAAGTAATAAATGAGAAAACTGGAGACGACCGATACGTTTTCGAGATTACGACGTCGTTCATATTTTTGAAAACAACCAGGGGGATTCAAATCACAATCACTACCAGATGATGTTTCGTTGATATCAAAGAGAAAAGTGACACTGAGAAAATAGCACTTCTTTCTCAGTCGGTGTTGGCAGACATTTGGAAATAGTACACAAAATGTGTGTTACAAAAGGCAGGGTAGTGAAATATTCATTCCAATAATGTTTTACGACATATTATGATTAAGAAACATGATGGAAAGTCAGATTGAAAATGTTGGAGGCAAGAGGGATTGTGAGGTCATCTATTGGTCACAATGAACGGGTGACCTCGTTATCGGTTTTGGAACTAATCACACTAGGCTGGTTTTACTTTCTTTAGGTGTGACCCTTCATGGTTCAATGTTTGACTATTTATACTGAGACATACGTACTTCACTAGGGATAGAGCTGTGTGTTACATTAGGTAAATAGCGATGCGTGAGTGTATGATTGTATGTATGTGTGTATCTGTATTTCTGTGTAGGCGTCTGTGTATGTGTACACGATGTGTGATTGTGTGAGCCTTCGTGAGTGTCTTTGTGTGCGTCTGTCCGTCTGTCTGTCTGTGCGTCTATGTTGTTGCCTGAACTAGCACATGCTGAAACTGCGACACACATTACCAATAACAGAGATAGATTTAGCGGCTGTTTGTGAGTGAGTGAGTTTAGTTTTACGCCGCACTCAGCAATATTCCAGCCATTTGGCGTCGGTCTGTAAATAATCGAGTCTGGACCAGACAATCCAGTGATCAACAGCATGAGCATCGATCTGCGCAATTGGGAACCGATGACATTTGTCAACTTAGTCCGCGTGCCTGACCACCCGATCCCGTTAGTCGCCTCTTACGACAAGCATGGGTTACTGAAGGTTCATTCTAACCCGGACCTTCACGGGTTTTGTGACGTCAGGCAAACAGTGATAACCGAGTGTTCTTTGCACTTCCTAGTGAGGTGGCGCCTTACAACGCTGATTACGTAGTGATAACACAGTAAATGTATATCTGTACCTCACGTCAGCCTATCAGTAGCAGTAAACATCGAACCATACCGACGTGTGCACGTCCACATCACTCTAACAGACAAAGACGTCTCAAAGGAGTCTGTACAGTCTTAACGATGGCCAAGTTGAAGTACCTTCCTTTGTTGCTGACATGGACCTCTCTGATCTGTTCTTGTAGTGGCCAGGACAGTATTGTGTCTATCATACAGAGATTAGACGAATTTCAGGAAGAAATGCTTGCTAACAAGGTTGATATGATCCGCATGGAGAAAAGGGTAATGAACGGCATTGATGTCGCGAAGACATCGGTGAGAGCCGAGTTAAGGGAAAACATACGGGATGAAGTAAGAAAAGCCATGGCGGAGATTCTACAAGGAGAGTCTCTTCAAGACATGGTAAAAAAGTCAAATTGTCTCTGAATTGCGGCATCTGAGACAGGGCTACCATCAAATGAAGAGGCAGTGGCATCATAATTCAAGGTCGCTCAGAGACTTCCAGGACGAGACGACCGTATTTCACGAATCTATCCTCAAGAAGGTAGATTTGTGGAATCGGGAAAACTCCAGTGATATTTGTGTCAGAGATAAGGATAGACTAGAAATAGACCTACAGAATGCCGATGTTACCATTGCAAGCCTCAAAGCTGACATCAAACGTTGTACGACATTGATGGAGACGTATCAGTCACAAATGTCTCAGCAAATGACAAATGTCACTGTGTCTCCTTCTACCCCCGCTCATCTAAATGTTACATCAACCTCCAGGACAACTGTGTCAACACCCAGGACAGAAGAGGAGAAAGGTAGGGTGTTAATAAGCGCATATCATTCCAGTACCCGCCATCAGTTTCGTCAACTCAGTATTCACGGAAACTCTCTGAGTGTTTATCAGTATCACAACATGAAAGAGGTAACTTCCCTTGCCTACATAGCAAAGACCAAGAAACTTCTGATAGGATTATACAACCCTGATAAGATAGTGTCATCTACCCTGGATACAAGTCACGTGACGGTATTAAGAGAACCTGTACTCGTATACAGCACGGCAGTGGATGAAGATCGGGACATCGTATTCATGTTCACCTATAGACCAGACTCAATCAGCCGCATGTCTACACAGGGTAAAGACTTTACTTCCATCATTGGCTTATCCAAGTACGGTAGTTTTGCAAGGCAAATAACTCTTGACACAAGGAGAAAGAGGATATATGTGTGTAATAGCAGGAAACTGTTCATTGTGACATATGATGGTCACGGTCTGACAACATTAGCCACAGGAACCCAAGTGAATGCTGTGACCCTGGATCAGAGAGAAGGTGTGTTGTATTATAATATAGAGAAAAAACTGATGAAGATGACTGTGTTTAATAATGTGAGTACAGAGGTGACCACACTGAACGCCGTCCCCTTGAACCTGAGACTGTATAGAGGCACCATCTACTACAGTGGCTATGCTTCTCCTGTTGTAGGTGCAGTGGATGTGACAAATGACACTGTGGCATATACTCTCCAGTCAATTAGTCTGAAGGGGCACAGTGGTTTATGCATGTGTCTGATTCCCTGAATTCTGTAACTGACATTCATACTGAATTGCGTAAAATACAATGTGTGATTCGAATGGAGATTTGAGGTCATAGATTTGATACGTAATTTAGTTACAAGTCAATGTGGGTGCCACAACTTATTTGATCAAATAATGCTGTTTATAGTTTTACAACTTCAGTCTGTGTTACCAACTTACATAAAAAGATGCCTATGAATGCATTATCTCCGCTAATACAGTGAACTCCACCTTTGTAAAGTCATAGAGTGGCCTTGGCTTGTTTAGAGAGAAAAAGTATTTCTCCCAAAACACAAACTGCTCGTGGACCAGGCAGGTGGTCAGCCCAGGCTTTGACATCTCCAACACTCCTGACACCCTTGTCCAGAACACTGATGGCTCATTATACATTAACCTTGGCAAGATACTTTCTTAATGAGACCTCGCATCTACACTGTAAAATTACTTTCAAATGCCTATCATCTGTCCTTGTCTGACTACGTACTGATTCAGGTCACGAAGTTGATAATAGGTTATGATTCGAAAACCATGTCCCAATCAGTCATCAAAAGCTAGGGCTGTGCAATATTACCGGTAAACCGGTATAGACCGGTACAGTATCTCGTGATATGATTATCGCGATATGGTTCAGATTCTGCAATATATTGGGTCATCCAGAATTAGTTCCCTTTGAATTATCTGCCCTTGATTACCATAGAAACAAAATGTGCTCTAAAAGTACCAAATATACATTTTTTTCTTGGTTTCATATAACATTTTATAAGTGGAAGTGTCTTTATTAGTGGCACCAAAAGTGCCAAATATTCTATTGTAGATTAGAATGGTTTCATATATGACGTTTTGGAGGAATTAAGTGGCCTCAAATAGACCCATAAATCTTGCTTTTCTTATGCATTCCACTTATAAATGCCCTTAAAAATTTGACCAACCTTTTATTTGGACTTATTAGTAGAACCTCTGGCTCTGAGTGACCATTTTGTTTGCTATATAATAGGACATATGTTATCAATTTATCATAAAGGCCAAAGTCTTATAAACTTTGTAGGACTGTAAAATGACATTCTAGTCAAGAATCTTACTAATATATTGGATGTCACATGAGATTTTAAGCTCAAGTAGTTCACCTAAATCATGTCTTTGTTTTCATTTTGCAATAGCTCATGTTAACACATGTTTATATTGGAGTTAAATCTGAATGAATAACTGACATACAGTAACAATAATTACATACTGCATTGAAGTGCATTCTGTTGAAGAAAAGAACGCTGATAATGAAAATCATGTTATACTATTATAATTATCATTATGTTCGCAAAACTTGCAATACAGTACTTCAATTAAACAGTTTGTATATCAGTTGTTGTTTAATATCACATCGAGACAGTGTATATCAGTTGTTGTTTGTTATCACACACCCACAGTGTATATCAGTTGTTGTTTGTTATCACACCCCGACAGTCTATATCAGTTGTTGTTTAATATCACATCGAGACAGTGTATATCAGTTGTTCTTTGTTATCACACCCCGACAGTGCATATCAGTTGTTGTTTGTTATCACATCGAGACAGTGTTTATCAGTTGTTGTTTGTTATCACACCCCGACAGTGTATATCAGTTGTTGTTTAATATCACATCGTGACAGTGTATATCACTTGTTGTTTGTTATCACATCCCGACAGTGTATATCAGTTGTGGGGCGGTGGGGTAGCCTAGTGGTTAAAGCGTTGGCTCGTAACGCCGAAGACCCGGGTTCGAATCCCCACATGGGTACAATGTGTGAAGCCCATTTCTGGTGTCCCCGCCGTGCTATTGCTGGAATATTGCTAAAAGTGGCGTAAAACCAAACTCAATCAGTCAGTCAGTCAGTATATCAGTTGTTGTTTGTTATCACATCCCGACATTGTATATCAGTTGTTGTTGGCCATTGACCGCCAACACTGTATCAGAACTTCTGTGTCATTGTGTAAGTTTGACTCATAGAAATAAATCGACCCCGAGATTCCACTTGTAAATGTTTATTACATATCTAGTTGATCACAGTCTGCATAATGCTCTCTGTTGGGACACAAGTGAAATAAAATATATTTGTCATTAAACTATTCAACTTTCAAATCAAATCATCATCATTGTGTTCAAGTTAAAACATATATAGTTCTGTAGAAACGATCATGTACAGTTCAGCGCAGATAGATAGATATAATAAATTCTAAACGTACTAACAGATGAATAGGGAGAATATCAGACTATTATTAATATTATGCATGGATACGTTCGAGACTGATTGACATATCTTTAATCTCTGCATGGTTTTGTTGGACGTTGAGCTTTGACACTACAAGTGTGCAGTGTCGTGTCAGTCACCATTAATTTGAATTAATTAATATAATTTCAGTGAGACCCGTGAAGATCCGGGTTAGAATTGGTCTTCAGCAACTCATGCTTGTCGTAAGAGGCGGCCGACGGAAACAGGTGGTCAGGCTCGTTGACTTGCAATTGGTTGACACGTGTCATCTCATCCTAATTGCGTAGATCGATGCTCATGATATTGATCACAGGATTGCCTGGTCCAGACTGGATTATTTACAGACCGCCGCCGTATAGCTGAAGTATTGCTGAGTGCGGCGTTAAGCAACAACCTACAAGCTAATGATTTCAGTGATATTTTCAAGCTTCTGAGAGTTACTCTTACACTTCCGCACGTATTGTGACGTAGATGTGAAAACACATCAATCATTAATATGCCAGTGACATGAAGTCTCTACAACTACTACTATCATGAGTTTATTGGCGGATTTGCAGGTACCATGTTGTCCAACTAGGTTTGTTTACTCCACAAGACTTCAATCGTGGTCCCTTCACACCCCAGCTCATATGGTTTCATGTCAGTGAATTTGATGTAGTTCCTGAAAACAGAAATCAGAATGTTCAACCGTTAGTGAGCGAGTGAGTATGGTTTTACGCCGCTTTTAGCATTACTCCAGCAATATCACGACGAGGGACAACAGAAATGGGCTTAACACAGTGTACCCATGTGGGGAATCGAACCCGGGTCTTCGGTGTGACGAGCGAACGCTTTAACCACTAGGCTACCCCACCGCCCCTCAACCGTTAGTATGTGTGTGGGAGCTGACCGCCCCAATATTGACCAAGGCTTCCTTGGTCATCGTATGTCGTGATGTTGATAGATCAGTAATTGCTGTATCAAAACAAAATGATCAATAGCGACACTTGATGAATATTATATGAAATGTTAAACACATTGGTTAATTTAACATCTTGATCAAGATTGAAAATGAAAATGCAGAAAATTTGAAATATATCTACTCGTCAAAACGTTTTAATAATCATTTCCTGTCATAAGAAAGATATTTCAGCATGTCAAATGTCTAGTTTTGAAGTAACGAATGATGCATCTCATTGCTATCCAACATGGCTTTCAAGCTATTTATTTCGTATCGAGAAGAAGTAAATGGTCACAGTTCTTGACTTTACGACTGACCACGTGTTGTCTTCTTTTACCACAAGTGATTGATTGATTGATTGATTGAGTGAGTGAGTTTAGTTTTACCGCACTCAGCAATATTCCATCTCTATTGAGGCAGTCTTTAAATAATCGTGTCTGGAACAGACAATCCAGTGATCAACAGCATGATCATCGATCTACACAATTGGGATATAATGAAATGTGTCAACAAGTCAGCGAGCCTGACCATCCGATCCCGTTAGTCGCCTCTTACGACAAGCATGGGTTACTGAAGATCAATTATTACCCGGATCTTCATGGGTCCACAAGCCCGAAGTACGGGGATATAATCTGGCATAGAATTCACCAATTCTATTTTTATAGAGAGACACCTATAAAGTTCTGCGACTGGTTTAGAGGAAATGTACTTTTTCTAACCTTGAAGGGTCAATGCCAAGTTTTTGTTGCAGGAATTCTGAAATTTCCTTGGACATCTGAATGTTTTCCTCGGCACTTATGTGTCCAATAGCCTGGAGCTCGGAGTTGGCACATGGTTCAGTCGTACCCCCGTGGGTCATCATCTGGCCTGGATGAATCCTGACCTCCACAACATTGAGCTAAAATTGAGCAAACAGGGGAAAGGATGACAGAGTAAGTTGAGTGAATGATTGGGTCAGGGGAAAGGATGACAGAGTAAGTTGAGTGAATGATTGGGTCAGTGGAACGAATGGCAGAGTTAGTTGAACGTATGATGGAGTGAATTTTGCAGATGATCGAACGTAAGATTAAGTGAATAATTGTACAAGGTTCGTGCATGATGGAATAAGTTGGGGTAAACATTTGATAAATTGATGATTGAGTCGTGTGAATGATTGAGTAACTGGAGTGAATAATTGAGTGAGTGAGTGAGTTAAGTTTTACGCCGATTTTAGCAATATTCCAGCAATATCACGGCGGGGGACACCAGAAATGAGCTTCACACATTGTGCCCATGTGGGGAATCGAACCCGGGTCTTCGGCGTGACGATCGAACGCTTTAACCACTAGGCTACCCCACCGCCCCTGTGAATAATTGAGTACGTTGGGGGTAAATATTTAGATACATTGATAGCTGAATCGAGTGAATGGTTGAGTAACTGGAGTGAACGATTCAGTAAGTTGGGGTAAGCATTTAGATAAATTGATAATTGAGTAGAGGGAATGACTTAGTAAATTGAGTGAGGCATTTATATGCGTGAATAACAAAGTTTAGCGAATGATTCAGTAGTTTGATGAAAGGGTGAGTTGAGGTTATGAATGTGGCAACCAAATCGTTATATTTTAAGCTGACAATGAACTATACACATCTAGTCGACAATTAACTTCTTAACCTTAAATCCGCTAATATCCAATGACTGATTTTTAATGACAACAGGTAACCCTAAATATACTGAGAGAAACAAATAAAGGAATTTGTATATTGTGTAGGAAAATTTCTATCACAAAAGTTAATGTACGATATTATCGATAACACAATTTTGATATCGATAATCATTGATATTATTCCTATCCACGATATTTTAGTTTATAGATCATTTTAGCCAGCCCTAATACTCAAAGAGAACTATCAAAACCTAATATCAATGGTAACGAGAGTAAACACCCAAAGGATAACAAAATATATGATGCCCATATCGGAAGCTTTATGGTAGTACCGTATTCCTCCATAAAACTTCCAGTCGTATAAAGTCTCTCTTTTCCCCTGGCGTTAAATCGAGGAAAATGTTTCATAATTTAATTTTCCAGTGGTATTTATATGTTTTCTGAAATAATTCTGTTTAGTGGAGACAAAGTGTTGTTCGCAGTAGTAGAAATACAATACACAGAGATAATTAATGCATACACACTACCAAACTTGTTTTCGAGACGTGGCGTTAAGTCAAGGATGTACATTAACCTTTACCCATGAAGACCATTGTATACAGTCTTGTTATCAGAGGCCGCTACTGATAACATACATGCTGTGTCTTGTTCAAACATACTTGAGACACAAGACAGATCCTAGCAATCTGGTACGAGTCACTTTGCTAAAGTCTAAAGTCTCATGCCTTTGCTTTTCAAGCACTTTAGGGCGGTGTTGTAGCCTAGTGGTTAAAGCGTTCGCTCGTCACGCCGAAGACCTGAGTTCGATTCCCGACATGGGTACAATGTGTGAAGCCGATTTCTGGTGTCCCTGCCGTGATATTGCTGGAGTATTGCTAAAACTAAACTCACTCACTCACTCAAGCACTTTGTGTCTGGCCAAACCCGATTAGAAAGACTCAACTCAGGATGACTATAATTTTTCGATTTGATTCATAATGTCTTTTAATGCTTGCCGATTAGAAAGACTCTGAAACTCGATTCCCCACATGGGACTGTAATTGTTCGTGATTTGATTCATAATGTCTTTTAATGCTTGCAAGTTTATATTTTACAGTGTTAGAATAAAATAAATATATTACAGAGTTAGCGTGGTTAGTTTTAAATTCATACAGTAAAAATACATTATGATCAGCGTTCGAAATTAACGTCGGTCCTTAGACTCGGAGCCGACTGAAAAACACTCGGACCCAAAACTTTTGTTTTCTGCAGGCCGACAGCTTTTCCATCCCATTTGACACTGACATATCCCTGTCTGAACATTCTGATACAGACTTTCCAGAAGACTTGGATCTTGACATGGATGTTGATTTTGTTGTAAATGAAGACTAGTCAGTCACTAGAATTAAATTAAACTCTTTAACTCAGTAGTTAAAATATAGGGCCTACACATTCCCATCAGGCTCCACAACATTTAATGGTTCTGGGTCATTAGGGCCTGCAGCTTTTCAGGGTTAAGGGCAAACACTGATTATGCATATATTTTTAGAAATATACAACGTCTGTATATTGAATTTAAATTAACATATTCAAGGAAGTCATTTCCCAAAACGATGCTCTGACCTCTGACCTTGTGCAATGCATGCCACAATAGAGGTCAATCAATACCTCCATCTGACGATTTATCGAATTTAATGACCTCGACTTTAATTTTATAATTTATCGACGACGAGCTTCGACGACGATTTCTCCAATTTGTCGAATTTATATCGATGACCCATTATTCGACGACGACTTCGACTTTATCGGACGATTTAATCGATCGACCATATTGATTCCTTTCCTCGACGACGACGGATAACGAATATCGACGATCTCCTTCCTTCCCCGACGATTTTATCGACGACTTCCGGACTTCCTGACGACGATTGAGATTTACCGGACGACTCCCGACTTTTCCGACGATCGAATTTATATCGACGACGATTCTTCCTCGACTTCCTGATTTATCGAATTTATCGACGACCGACGAGCCCCGACCGGAGATAATCGATAATGACGACGATCTTCGACTTCCCGATTTCCGATCGACGATAATTTATTTCGACCATTTGTTCGGTTTGATCGACGATAATTTAATTTATCGACGACGAGCCGACTTCCGACTTTACTTCCCGACGACCGATTTCCGGATTTATATAATTTATCGACGACTTCCTTCGACCTTTTCCGATCGACGGAGATAATTTATCGGATGACCTGACTTCCTCGACGACGTATCGAGATAATTTATCGACGATCCTTCCTTTTCCCGACTAACCGACGATATATTCGACACGACGACTTCCTTCCTGGACGACCGACCGATATATAATTTATCGACGACGAGCCCCGACTTCCTCGACGATTTATCGACGCATTTATAATTTACTTCGACGACTTTCCGACGATTTATTTTAATTTATAATTTATTTCGACGATTTCTTTACGACTTCCCCGGATTAACTGACGAGATAATTTACGTGACGATAATTCCCCGACTTCTTCGACGAGATTATAATACCGACGACGATCCGACGATTTACCGACGAGATATCGACGACCTCGACTTCGACGATTTATTTATAATTGATTTTCCCGACGACCATTTTTATTGACCTCGACTTCTTCCGACGATTATAATTTATCGACACTTTCCTTCCTCGATGACGACGATGCCCGACGATTTATAATTTACCGACGACTTCTTCCTTCGACTTCCTCGATTTTATTTATCGACGATAATTTATCGACGATCTCGAGACGACTCTCCGATCGACGACCGAGATATCGATGACGACGATTTCGACTTTTCCCTCGACGATAGACGATGACCTTTATTGACGACTTCCTGACGATTATCGAGTAATAATTTACGACGCCCGACCTTTATCGATTTCGAGATATCGCCGATCGACGATTTTCGATTTGATTCCACTTCGATGATGCCGATAATTTATAATGACGATACGTTCCGACGATTCTTTATCGATAATTTATCGACGCCATACTTTATCGACGATTTATCGACGACGCAATTTACGACCATTTATCGGATCGACGACTCTTTCTTCTATCGACTTATTTAATTTATAATTTACGGGGACGACGAGCTTTCCGACTCGATTTGATTTATTTAAATTTGATAATCCATTTCGACGACGATGGATTTTAATTTATATAACGACGCATTTCCTCGACTTTACTGACGATGATAATTATATCGACGACTTCCTTTCCCGACTTTACTGGATTTATAATTTATCGACGATTTTTCGACGATGACGTGAGATATTTATGACGACCTATTTTCCCGACGACATTTGATAATTTATATTTTATCTTTCCCGACTTCGACGCCGATTTGACTTATAATTGATATCGCATAACTTATTTTCCTTTCCTGACTTTAATTTACTTATACTTATTTCGACGACCATTTCCTTTATACTCTTCCTTTAATTTATAATTTATCGACCATTTCCCTTCCTTCCCGACGACGTACTCGAACCACTTAATTCATTCTCTTCGAGCCTTACTAATAATATCTAATGAACGATAATTCCTCGACTTTATGTTCCTTAACTCTACCGATAATTTACTATGCCCATTTTCCTTTTCGACATTCTTTCCTACCTATACCTAACTTAACTCCTCCCTCCCCCACCTTCCTCCTCCCTCCCTCCCCATCTACCTACCTACATGTACCTCCTACCTACCTCCCTCCTCCCCCTCCCTCCCTACCTACCTACATGTACTCCTACCTAACTAACTACCTCCTCCCTCCCCATCTACCTACCTACATGTACCTACCTTACCTATCTACCTACCTACCTCCCTCCCCTACCTACCTACATGTACCTACCTACCTACCTACCCTCCCTCCCACCTCCCTCCCTACCTACATGTACCTACCTAACTACCTCCCTCCCCATCTACCTACCTACATGTATCTACCTAACTACCTCCCCCCCCACCTCCTCCCTCCCTCCCCATCAACCTACCTACATGTACCCCTACTCTAACTACCTCCCTCCCCACCTCCCTCCCCACCTCCCTCCCTACCTATACATGTACCTACTCCTACTACCTCCCTCCCTCCCCATCAACCTACCTACATGTACCTACCTGACTACCTCCCTTCCCATCTCTATCCTCCCTACCTACATGTACTCCCTACCTAACTACCTCTCCCTCCCCCACCTCCCTCCCTCCCCCATCTACCTACCTACATGTACCTACCTAACTACCTCCCTCCCCACCTCCCTCCCTACCTACATGTACCTACCTAACTACCTGCCTCCCTCCCCATCTACCTACCTACATGTACCTACCTAACTACCTCCCTCCCTCCCTACCTCTACCTACCTACCTACCTACCTACCTACCTCCTCCTCCCCACCTCCCTCCATCTACCTACCTACATGTACCTACCTAACTACCTGCCTCCCTACCTCCCTCCCCATCTACCTACCTACATGTATCTACCTAACTACCTCCCTCCCCACCTCCCTCCTTCCCCATCTACCTACCTACATGTACCTACCTAACTTCCTCCCTCCCTACCTACCTACCTACCTACATGTACCTACCTAACTACCTCCCTGCCCACCTCCCTCCCTCCCCATCTACCTACCTACATGAACCTACCTAACTATCTCCCTCCCCACCTCCCTCCCAGGTTTTAATCCCGTACAAGAAGGAATAACTGTCTTTACGTGTATAAAATCGCACATCACGTAACCAAGTAACACCAATGTGCACCGGAATACCATGTATACAACTATTTCTGATAGTTATTCACGAATAATATCATATTACCATAGAAACACTTCTCCCAAGTCAAGACATGCCAAGAGTGTTGGGTAAGTCAGCAATATGTTATCTACATCATAGGTCATTGTGACCTGATAGTAAATCTGCTTTGTCAGGGAATGACCCTATTTCAGCTTACACAAACATGAAATCGGTTCATGCCTACCCATCTTGACCTTGAATCCACATAGGGGGTGTATCGTTTTCTTCTTTAGAGAAACGTGATGACACAAACTGCTTGTTTGATTTGACACTCATTTCAATACGATGTCATTCATATGATATCTAGAGGGAATTTCATAATTATTATTAATTCCTAATTTTTCATTAAATTTTTCATAATTCCTAATTTCATAATTCTTAATTTCATAGTTACTATTATATAATTCTGTAGTATTTTTAATATGATAATTCTTGAGCTAAAGATAATTTCTCAGATATGTTCCCTCGAGCAGTGTGATAATACATCTTCATATTCCGATGTGTTATTCTGATGCTACGATGAAACAGTGACAATTCACAACATATATTATCGCACGGAAATAAAAGTCCCTCCTGTGAATGAAAACTTGAACTTACACTTTCTGGTTTCCGAATAGCTTTGGCGATGATTTTTGAGGTTTCGAACAGAAACCTCTTCGGGAGGTCGCTTGTTGCCACATTCGTGAAGAGAATAAAACACGGCATGGCTACCCTGATTCCGAGACTCAAGTTGCTGACACGGATATCTGTGCTCGTTTGATAAATAGGGAACTTGTTGTTCAACTTCCAAAGCGTTCAGACGCCGGCGCAATAATTTTGCTGCTACGTCACTGCCACAGACTAAATCGTATATCACGTGAGCGGACTTGTTTCATTTGCCTATTTGTCCTTTCTTCACATTGGTCGTACGTGCTGGCACAGAAACTCTGTGTTGTAATGCAGGCTATTGTCGTAATTGTTGCAGCATATCAATATCACTAAGTAAAATAATGTGTAACACTTGGTAATTGTTTGACATGCGTGCACATGTATTTAGACTAAAAAGCCAACCGTTATCTTGAGTGAGTGAGTGAGTGAGTTTATTTTTACGCCGCTTTTAGCAATATTCCAGCAAGCTCTCAGAAAAAATGTTTATGTATACATATATACCGCTGAAAATGTTTTACAGTGACAGTGATAATGTTTTGTTCAGTGGCAGTAGAAGGCCGGAATTTCAGAGGATAGCTTTCGTTGATTCAGGGATCAATTGAGCCAGGCCGCGTTAATCCGGACAGTGCCGTTTTTCATAAAAAAATGTTCGGATAGTGAAACGTTCGGTTTGCTGAAACATGTCCAGTACACCACACTGCAGTAGAGTTACTTCCCTTTCACGCGACTGATGGAGACAAAAGAACGTATGTATACATGTATCAACTGACATATTATCATGATTTATTATAATATTCAATGTATATCCGATTTGACTTAAACTTGTTTGACTTAAATTCTTTGGTCGTTTGACTTATTTGACTATTTTATATAATTACAGTGGCACCACACCCACCAACCAGTGCAACTCGAGATGGAAGAGGGGGCCTTCAAGTCCACGCTAATCCACCGTGCAAAGACGGTGGATTGCCGTGTGCAGCAGATGCAGATTTGGCGAAGGCACCTTCTCCTCAGCTCCCCGGTTGTTCGAGCAGATCTACACCTTGCATGCTGAGTATCAAGGCCACATGTTCCAGTTCGTGTACTGTTTGCTGCCGAATAAATCTGAGGATACATACAGTAAGCCCCGGAACACTTGTGTCAGATGGCCCATCAGCTGAACTGTTTCCTCGATCAAAGGACAACAACATCATCGGTGTCCTGGACTACACTGATCACGTCCCTGACCTGATCCACCCTCAGTGATCCATCAATGTGACTTACCAGTGAACAGTCTGTGACTCAAACATTTATTGTTATTTATTTATTAAATTATTATTTATTAAATGACTACGGTATCAGACGACGACTCACATTTCTTTGTTTTTCTTGTGTATTGAGAGTACCTGGAACGCAAAATCCCGTTAAATCCATAGCATAATCTACAATACATATTTACATTTTGATGAGTAATATCCATTGTGTTAACATGTCTACGAGTAAGATCCATTGTGCTAACATGTCTACAAGTAATATCCATTGTGTTAACACGTCTATTAGTAATATCCATTGTGTTAACATGTCTACGAGTAATATCCATTGTGTTAACATGTCTACGAGTAATATCCATTGTGCTAACATGTCTACGAGTGATATCCATTGTGTTAACATGTCTACGAGTAATATCCATTGTGTTAACATGTCTACGAGTAATAGCTATTGTGTTAACACGTTTACGAGTAATATCCATTGTGTTAACAGTTCTACGAGTAAGATCCATTGTGTTAACATGTCTACGAGTAATATCCATTGTGTTAACATGTCTACAAGTAATATCCATTGTGTTAACACGTCTATTAGTAATATCCATTGTGTTAACATGTCTACGAGTAAGATCCATTCTGTTAACATGTCTACGAGTAATATCCATTGTGCTAACATGTCTACGAGTGATATCCATTGTGTTAACATGTCTACGAGTAATATCCATTGTGTTAACATGTTTACGAGTAATAGCTATTGTGTTAACACGTTTACGAGTAATATCCATTGTGTTAACAGTTCTACGAGTAAGATCCATTGTGTTAACATGTCTACGAGTAATATCCATTGTGTTAACACGTCTATGAGTGATATCCATTGTGTTAACATGTCTATGAGTGATATCCATTGTGTTAACATGTCTATGAGTAATATCCATTGTGTTAACATGTCTACGTGCCACACACAGTGTGTTTCAATATTTACATAGATAGGACAATCTCCACGTGTCACTTTCGTCGTGTTAGCACGTCAGTGTGTGTCACGTCATCCAACAGTATGTGTTGGCATATCTATGTATGTCACACTCTTTACCCTGACAACCTTCTCCAGAGCAATCATGATTACTCATTAGACAGTACGTTTGTACATTCCAAAGGTTAACATGGACAAAAACAATGTTGCTGGTTGTGTGAAGATATGAAAGTAAAAGTGAACTGACACAAAGTCCTTCACGAAAATATCTGAACAAGCAAAATTAACCAAAGCGCAACAATGTGACAACGCGACATTTCGTCCATTTGTCGCATTGTCGCGATGTCGCATGTGGCGTTTTGGATAATATTTTTCTATTCCTCCAAAGGGCGACAATGCGACATAGCGACAATTTTCAAGGTCAAACTATGTCGACATCGCGACAATGCGACATATGGACGAAATGTCGCGTTGTCGCATTGTCGCGCTTTGGTTAATTTTGCTTCATTTTGCTTGTATTTGAGAGGGCGACAACACAACAATTGCCCTTCCAGGATTCCATAGTGTGCAGTTTCAAACAAAAGGCTAATTGATTTATTTGAACAGTCCTGAAATTATTCACCCACCTTGCAACCTTTGCTATAGCGTTTTACAACCCTTTATGTACGCTTCATACATTCTCATGGTCATGCTTTTCAGAAATAGAGTGAGTGAGTTTAGCTTTACGCCGCTGTTAGCAATGTTTAAGCAATTGGCTTCACCAGAAATTGGCTTCGCACACTGAGCCCATGTCTGGAACGGAACGTGGGTCTTCAGCGTGACGAGCGATCGCCTGAACCACGAGGTTACCCCCAACACCCCTTATAGGGACCGTTGGGTCTAAACAGCGAACAAAGATGTTTGTATGGCTTCCCGTGTTTTGTATCGTCTATGCAAACAGGGAACATTAGAGCTTGAGATCTAAGCCTGAACAATCACAACGTGCATTGAAACAATGCAATCAACACCTGGTGTAGGCCACATGCACGTACATATTTACCGTACTTCTTTATTACGGCAATCATGTGCCACTCGGGCACCTTTATTTACGGAATCCGTGCTTAGTGTAGGTCGCAAAATTACCATAAAATATTTCCTGCTTCACGAAATGTCCGGTAAGAGGTAAAAATGAGAAAACAGAAAACATTTTTTTTTTCAAATAGCGTTATTTTTTTCAGAAGACCATCGATCACATACACAACAGCTTCCGAAGTTTCAAACAGATTACTATTTGGTGACATCACTGCTGGAGTAGATATTGACAGAAATATACTTCTTTCTCAATCTTTGTTGGCATGTATTTTTGAGAAACTCATGGGGGCAAAGGTGTGTTAAAAAATGCAGCAATCCGAAACATGAGGCTCATTAACCTATTCAGACAATGACCTACTTTTCAGCCGATCCGAATTTTCTAGTGTGAAAGTGAAAATAGACAGCACAAACAACTATGGTTACACTGAATTCCAATTCCTTGTTGCATAAGAAAATGTAATTTACAAATGAAGTTTAATTTTAAACTTCAATAACATCGTATTTCTATATTTTGTGGCGAGGTGTAGGCAGCATGTGACCTTAACTAAGACGTCACTGACTGCCCCAGTTTGATGAGGTGGTAAAATAATTCACAATGTATTTGGCTCACTGGTTACACCTGTTTGGTGTTTTTGCGCTTATTCAGTGAGGTTCTGTAACGCACAGTGTGATTGACCTAATATCAAGTCCGTATCAGTCCGCTAAACTTTTCTAGCGGCAGAGCCTCGTTTTGAGATTTCCACGATTTCAAGGGTTCTGTTTGTCAGTGCTCGCTGTACGACAGAGGACGCTGCACGACACGTTTGCAAGGATTATAAGGAGCGTAGTGTTGCAATATACAAGTGCTTAGATGTATCAAATAATACTGATAAATATTTATGTATCTAGTTAAATGAATTGGTCTAAAAATTCTGGACTTGTTATTGTACTAAGTTGCGCAATAGGACGGAACCCAGTCAGCAGGGGACGAGACTCTTGAGTAATCAATGTTTTGACTTGTTGCTGAAATTTCAATCATTTCATTTTGCAATATATTTTGATAAGAAACCGAGATGGAAAGTATGATTTCCATTTTTCGGCCATGGAAACCATGGAACGCTGGCGTTTTTCAGGGTGACCCTGCATGGCTGCTTATATTAATGTGGTTACGGCACATGTTTATACATGGTTGTACTATGTCCTGTGATACTGCAGCACACGCTGAACGCTACATCAACTAAACAGCGAGATGGTGACCCTAGGTGACCCGCAGTATTGATAACGTAGTGATAACACAGTAAATGTATATCTGTACCTCTCTCCAGCCAATAAGTGGAAGAAAACGCCGAGCCATACCGAGGGTTACATGTACATATCACTCTAACAGACAAAGGCCGTTATGAAGATGGCCACGTTTAAGTGCCTTTCCTGGCTGCTGACATGTGCCTGCCTAATCTGTTTTTGTAGAAGCCAGGACAGTACTGTGTCCATCCTCCAAAGACTGAACCAGTTTCAGGAGGAAATGCGTGATAACAAGGCAGATGTGATTCGTATGGAGAAAAGGATCCTAAATTTCATTGAGGTCGCTCAGGCATCCCTGAGAACTGAGTTAAAGGAAAACATACGGGATGAAGTGAGAGAAGCCATGGCGGAGGTTCTACAAGGGGAGGCTCTCCAAGACTTCGTGAAGGGTCAGGTTGGCTCTAAATTGTTGCAACTGAAACATGGTTACCATCAGATGAAGAGGCAGATGCATCATGTCTCAAGGTCATTCGAAGACTTCCGGGACGAGACGATCTTATTTCACGAATCTATTCTGAAGAAGGCAGACTTGTGGACTCGAGAGAACTCCAGTGATGTCTGTGTCAGAGACAAACATGGACTGAAAATAGAACTTCAGAAGGCAGATGTTACCACTGCAAATCTGAAAACTAACATCAAGCTTTGCACGTCATTGAAGGAGACGTGTCAGTCACAAATGTCGCAGCTAATAACAAATCTGACTGTGCCTGCTTGTACACCCTCCAGTGCAAATGTTACATCAACCTCCAGGCCAGCGACAACGTCAGTGATCCTGGTAACTCCAGTTTGGTCAAGTACCCCACGCCAGTTCCGTCAAATCAACATTCACAGTAACTCACTTGGTGTTTATCCGCATCTCAACATCAAGAGGGTTACATATGCTACTTATGTAAGGAAGACAAGGAAACTGCTGATAGGATTAGAACACCCAGATAAGGTTGTGACATCAACCCTGGATACAAGTCACGTGACGGTACTAAGAGAAGGCGTACGGACATATGGCATAGCGGTGGATGAAGATCGGGACATCGTATTTATAGCCACCTTGAAACCACTATATTCAATGAGCCGCATGTCTACACAGGGGAAAAACTTCACTGTCATGATTGACTTATCCGGGTACGAATGGTATCCTAGGCATCTCACTCTTGACACAAAGAGAAGGAGGATGTATTGGTGTAATTATGCGAAACTGTTCACTGTGACATATGATGGTCAAGGTCTGGCAACATTAGCCACAGGAGATCAAGTGTATGCTGTGACCCTGGATCAGGCAGCAGGTGTGTTGTATTATAATGACGCGAAGAAACTGTGGAAGATGACTGTGTCCAGTAATGTCACTAAACAGTTGACCACACTGAACACCGTCCCCTGGAACATGAGACTCTACAGAGGCACCATCTACTACAGTGGCTATGATTCTCGTATTGTAGGCGCACTTAATCTAACACACAGTCCTATCGCACATACTCTACATTCAATAAGCATGGAGGGGGCTCATTCGTTACTGATGTGTTTGATTCCCTGAATTTTACAATGGTCATTACATTCATTTGGCAAAACATTTATTTGGAAAATACAAACTGTGATTTCAATGATGGACGGATCTTGTCACTCTTGATATGAGTACAATAGGACTTGTGTGTATCAAACCTGATTCCAATGAACGACTGATCTAGTCACTCCTGGGAAACCAGTTTGAAAATTAAACATTTGATGTAAAATTCAGTTTAGGTGACAAAGTCAGTGATAGGTGTTGTAAACAGCATCAGCAAATAC